AAATGTTTATTTATCCGCTTTTTTCTTTGCACAAACTGCTCACACACACATCACCTATATCCGCCAACGGTCATTCAATTGTTTGAATTTCAATTTCGTGAGCTTTATTGTCTAAAGAGACACTTGGTGTTGGCCCCAAAAGCTAATTAACAGGCATAAAAAAGCTCCAATAATCATCATCATAGTAATAAATGTATGCATGTGCAGTCGCAAACACTTAGTAAAATAGCATTTTATTATAAAAATGATAGAAAACAAGCGAAAACAAATAAGGGATTTGAGTTTTAATTAAAGGTTGGTGTTTCCCTGGAGCTCAAACATTCAGCAACCAGTGTTTTAAATAGCTAATAAATCCACATTTTATTTTCTGCTTATGCTTCCGGATAGTTGCCTCTTAATTCCTACATATTTGTCGCAGTGTAGCCACAAACAAACAAACAAACAAATAAATAAATAAATAAATAGAAAATGTGTGTGTTGTCCACTGTCATTCCCTGTGTGCTGATGAAGCAGAGTGACAGTTTTAGACAGCGGCTCTCTCTCTCTCCCTCTCTCTCTCCTCCTCCCTCCCTCCCCGGCTGAAGCTCACCACTACACCCCCAGCCTCGGGGGTTTTTTTTTTTTTTAAAATACAGCTTTTATGTGACTAACCTGTCATTAAAATAACGGAGGGAAGGGAAGTCGCTGCGAACAGCCAGTCGGTAACCCGGCGTCCTTCCCTTTTTTTTTTTTTTTTTGTGGAAGATTCCGGGATGCAGCGCAGCCAGCACTACCGACAGCTGTATTTTTAGGAATGGGTGGATACCAAAAGCGAAAATTATTTATTTTTGTCCCGGCGGTGAATGCCACAAGCCCTATGCGCATAGGCGACGGCAAAGGAGGCGACCTATAAATGCATGTATGAGCTTTTTTAAAGGCTGTTTTTTTCTTCCTCCTTCCTTCCTCCTCCTCTTCTATTGCAGCAGCAGCAGCAAAGTCTGCAGAGCTGAAGCAACAGGGAGAGCCTGTCGCATTTTCTATATAGCTTGAGTTAAAAGTCATTGCATATGTATATTTAAATATGTGCACAGAGAGCGTTGTTGTCTGGTGCTGTGTTTCCTCCTCCCTCCCTCCCCCCCTCTTTAACTTTCTGACATCCTCCTGCAGGCTTAAGAGGGATTCCCTGAAGAACGAGAAGGAAGGAAAAAAAAAAAAATGCCAGTGAGGCTGAAGCTGATGTGACACAGAGTGTGCTAGAAGAAAAGCTGACTCATCAGATATCAGTCTCTCCTGGGAGCGACTGAGCGTTTAAAGAGAGAGAGAGAGGAGGAAGAGAGGAAGAGAGAGAGCAGCTCCTACCACCTAATGCCGAGCTAGAGGAGTACCTCGCACCAGAAGCCCCCTCCGGCAGGAATATAATAAGAACCTGCGCCGGCTGCAGGGGGGTTACGAGATTTTGGCACCAGAAGGCCTAAAAAGAGTCGCCGAGAATGGCATCACATTGCTTCAGCTGAACCTCACCAGCTGACTCCCCCCCCCCACCCCCCCCCCCTCCTCCTCCACCCTCACCCGCCTCCCCCGCCTCCGTCTGCCTGTAGAAACATCAACAAACGTCCTCCATCACTTTCTTTTTTACCCCCAAAAACAACCCCAAAAGTCTGTGGGAGGTCCTCACACCTCTCAGCTCAGCCCGGCTCGGCTCCGGCACCACCACAAACCCAGTCCGCCCTTCACCCCCACCCCCACCACCTCCCTCCTCCCCGCCTCGCAGACCATGATGTTTCGCGATCAGGTGGGCGTGCTAGCCAGCTGGTTCAAGGGGTGGAACGAGTGCGAGCAGACGGTGGCTCTGCTGTCCCTGCTAAAGAGGGTGAGCCGGACCCAGGCCCGCTTCCTGCAGCTGTGTCTGGAGCACTCCCTCGCCGAGTGCACCGAACTGCAGGTCCTGGAGGGAGAGGCCAACAACCCAGGTAGGAAACATCCCTCCGCTCAGACACCGTCTACATCAGACATGACAGACAGATTAACACAGTGAGGCGCCTTTAGGGTGACCACGCTTTAAGTGCCCCCTCCTCGTCCCACTGTACACATTTATGGGTACAAACACAATAGATTTACATAATATTGGCCCTTAAACTGATGACATGTATGAGGCTACACGTAAAAGCGATGTGGTTATGCTGAGGGGTCCCTTTGGTGGTTCTCCCCCCACGACTAAAAACTGCATTTTCACATAATTTTAGACTCATTTTTAGATATTACACTCGGACATTGGCAAGAAAAATGTCCTGAACTGGGTAACGATTGATTTAATCTTTTGAAATAGAACTAAATTATCTTTCTAGAGTAACAGTAAAGAGGGAGAACTCGCCTTTGGACTATGGATAATCCAGCCCAGATTTACAAAGATGTGTTTACAGGCATTGACAGACCAGATTTATTAGTTTCTCATACATTATGAATGATAAACACTTAATTTGTACCTCTTAGATGTATTCAAACATATAGCGGATGGAGCAGTACATTACTTCTGCTTCAGGCAGGAGTAATGTACTGATATATACTGATTTAGTCATTTTAATCCCAACTCATTTAAACATTCAAAGGTTCAAGGATTTGTTTTCCCAAAGGAACCGTAGTCCCCCGACCCTGGAACAAACACACACACACACATACGGGCCCCACGCTAGCATTAGTAGAAATTTCCTGTCCAAAACATTCCTGCAGAGCCATCAAGAGTAATAAATAGCTGATTCACTGATGTTAGGAAACTGTACAAAGTGTTGCTCTGAACTGTGGCCAGTCAGTAAGTGATTGTGGAAGGAGGTTTTAGGGTCGTGTATAGTGTTAACTCAGCTGGCACCGCGGCCCGGGCCCGGAGACGTCAGTCAGTCAGTCAGCGTGCCAGCCTATAGCACTGTGGTGCTCCTTTGGGTTGGTATCGCGCCAAGGCACCCAAGGGGGGGTTGGCTGGGTTTTGTTGCATCAGACTGCAGCGTGGCCATGGAAACAAAAACCCTGGCAACCACCCGGGCTCATGAAAAATAGAAAGAAGTGCTGCTGCTGCTGTTGCTGCGATGGAGAGCAGGCGTCTGTGTGTACCTATGGCAACATCTGCATGCAGTAACACATCTGACGGCTTACACCGGGGTGACGTAATGGCCCTGCCCTGCTGTGACACTCACACACATTACATGGCGTTTCCATTGGGGGTTTACAATGGGCCGTGGCGGCGGTTAATGCCGGGCTGGTCTGTGTTATTGTTTTATATGAAGCTGGAGACATCAGAGTGGCAGCGAATGAAGTTTTTCCTTCAGTCGACCCCTCCCAGAGTCAGCCTGGTTCGTACTGTCACAGATCAAAGCACATTGACGACATTGGGAGGCTCCACTGTTATAGATTGGTGGTATACAGATACTTCGTTTAACACTGTGGCTTTCTGAAAGGTAACAGCACAAAGAAGATATGAACACATTAGTAAAACATTTATGCAGCAAATTATGTTATTAGGCCTGAATAATTCGAGTGCTTCTTCCCCCCCAGGGGCGGATCCAGAGGGGTGGCATCAGGGTGCCAGTGGCTTACCCTTTAAAAAAATCCCTGGCCACCCCAGTGTGGTGTCACATTTAACACATTTGAATTAAAAAATAATGTGTTAAAAACAAACACATCTGATTTAATGATCTGTTATAGACACATTTTAGAGTAATAGGCTTAAATACAAAGAAAGATAATTTGGAAGTAAAACAATTTATTGATTTCTAATGGCACCTTTAGATATTTCTATTGAATGTTTTACTAATGTGCCACAGTAATGTAATGTTTTTGAGTTAAAATAGTGATTATTTGCCCTCTCTGGACTCTTAATTGTCTGTACCTAACTGTTAAATGTTTGCTGGAGCCAGATTATTCCCAAAGAAACAAAAGCAGAATCAGTTTTCATTCAGTGTCTTAAAATGAGTCTTGTTCAGCATTCCTGAAGCAGTAGGAAGGGTTTCCCCTAACAAAGTGTTTGTAATTTTCTTATAAATGCTCTGATCTTAATATTTCAGGTACAGTCATTATCACAGTCCACGTGTCAAAGGTCAAGAAGCAGCTACAAACACAGAGCGGTGGAGTAGCATGTGGAATAACCAGGTTATTCGAGATGAATGGCTTTGTTGTAAGTTATATGCAGTTTTATCTGAAGCTCAGTACTTCCACTAATTGAGATACGGTTCTTTATGTAAATACTGTCATTACATACAGTACAGCTGTTCAGTCTTAACCCATGTGGTGGTTTACGTCGTGCTGCTCATCATCCAGACACAGCGGTTGTGTTGCTTGTTGCTGTGCTGCGTCAAGGTCTTAGGTCTTAAAGGCCTCTCAAGGGGGCATATTACTTACTTTTGAAACTTTAAAGGTCAAATGTGTAACATATAGGATGATCTACTGGAATCTCATATTCCAATGTATGTTTTCATTAGTGTATAATCAGTTTTCGTTCCCTCAGAATGAGCTGTTTTTATCAACAGAGGCCAGCACATTGAACCGCCATGTTTCTATTAGAGGTGTAAAGATTTGACCGATATGAGTCGGTAATGTTCTGTTATATAGCTGCAACGACATCGGTACACAAATCTAAATGCATCATTAACCAGTCGATGGTCCGATTCTAAATCTACTGATTGAAGCTTTGCTGCTAACAGAGTCTCTACTCTGAAAGGTAAAAGAGAGTAACGTTACCGCAGTGACGCTTCTAAGGTCGCCACACAAACAAACTTGTCTGTATAGCCATTTTCAAGATCTGTGGGACAGTGATTAAGTCCAACGGTAGCACGAGTAATCCTAACACTCACCTGGTGAGACGACACAGTGACTCCTCTGCAGGTGACAAGGATTCTGAAATGAGACATTTGTCTTTGAGATGCACACCCCTAGTTTCTACAGTAGCACAGAAAGGACAAACCAAACACTGGCTCTAGATAGGCCCTTAGTTTTACAGCCACCATAGCTTCTAACAATATTGTTAATCCGGCTTTTAAGATTGAAAATGCAAAGGTCAACTAAGCAGGCATACAGTAATGATTAAATGAGATGGTAATAATAATAATAATATGCAGTTTTTTTTGACACATGCACAGACGTGCTTTCAGGACTGTTTTCATTAAGTACGGCTGTATGATTTAAGCACACGTCGACTCCAGATATCCTGTGCAACAACCTGTCACAGTGGAATTTAACAAGCTTCTACCTTCCTTACCTTTTTAGATAGACGTTTGTGCCCCGCCCTTTAGTTTTCTCCCACCTGTGCCAGCTTGTGGTGGCTTCCTCTCCGCTGATTCAGCGAAGTAAGGTGGAATCAGCGGGCCTGTTTCAGCGCTGTAGACTTAACAGGACACATGCTGCTGAAAAGAGGGAGATTGAGAAAGTTGTCTGGTTACGTGATCCCTCTGGTATGTTGTGGTAGCGTGTTTGAGTGCTTATGCACCAGAGAGAGGCAGATATATTGAGTCTGCTGTTTTTTACTGGGCCAATACTGATCTTGTATTGATTATAGAGAATTTGCCAATTTGCAGTTATTTCTTACCACAGCCACACACAAGGAGCATATAAAGCCTGAAAAATGGTGTTATGGTCGTTGCCATGACAGTTTGTTGGAGCCAGCGCAGGAAACAATGGTGGCTCGCCCGGTCGCACATGATCTCGTATTCCAGCTAAACAGTAAAATATGTTTGTGAACAGATTTTAGGTGAGAAATAGTCAACACAGTCACATAATCTGGATCCATATCTGATCAGCACTGCCTAGTTTGACAGTTTGATCTGTTTCAGCTGGACGGACTCACTGAGAATGAGCTGTCAATCACAAGCATACCCTGCTTTATGGTCTATTTTACTCTAAATAAGAACCATCAGTTACTAAATGAACATCATGCTGTTTGGAAGAAGACTTGAAACTAGAGACTGAGACCATAAACTCATCAGGAAACTGTTTACTGAGTTAATAAATCAAGAGGGAAGTCGGCTCATTTCTCCATAAGACTGTATGGTATCTGCGTGTTATTGCAACCAATGGAGCCGCCCCCTGCTGGTCGTGACATACCATGCAGGTTTAAGACACTTCACAGACCCAGAAGCTCACTGTCAATAGTTTGACCTGAATGGACCAGAACCTTAATTACTATCATTGGTAACACCTGTGTTTTACCCTACTGTTTCATGTAAAAATGGCTGCTGTGAAAAAGTCTATTGGAAAGTTTAAAAATAGCCATTTTTAAAACCTTTTACTCTCTGCTACTTAGGCTCAGTCAGTGTAAAGGAACAAAACCACAAAATCGCTCACAGGCTGGAAGAGTGTTCAGACCAACTGTGAGTTCACTAAACTGATAAGTGATAAGTAGTGCAAGTGTGATTCAGACCTGGCAGGCTGTTGAAGGGGTTAACATGCAGCTGGAAGTCTTGGGGCTGAGTGGAAAAGCGCAACTATTTGGAAAGCGGTGTACAAATGAATGGAATCCTCAGTGACCTACTTCTGTGAGCGGCTGAGAGGCTGCCTTGTTTTGAGACCCAGCGAGTGATGCGACTTTATGGTGCGACTTGAGAAGCGATCGTAGTCAATGGGGTCACTATCTCACCGAAAGACAGGGCCGAGTTGCGTCACACAGGATTTATAATTTATCGTAGTGTTATTTTTAGACTCCTGTGAGGAATATGGTCGCTTTTCTGAGAGTTTTTTAAGCTTCTGCATTTCTATCTGAACCGCCTTAGTGCAGATGTGTAAACACTAGTTTTAATTTCAGGCCCTAACCTTAAGTCAACAGGAGCGATGCCATCCATAATCATCCCAATTCACCTCACAGATTTGACTTTTTGATGGGAGAAACCACAGAGTTTAAACCCTGGCTTTCTTCTGTGTTTGCCGATGGGAGTAATCTGTAGCCTGCAGCATTTTCAGTTGTAGTTATTAAGGAATGTAACTTCCTGTTATTCCCCCCCCCCCTTTTAAGGAGAACAAAACGTCTTTTGAGACAATCCCAAGAGGGACAATATCGGATCAAGTTGAGAGGACATGAATAGTGAGCAGAGTACTGTCTGAAGGACGACACACACACACACACACACACACACACACAGGGTGTAGGGTTAGTATAAGGGGTGGGGTTATGACAGGACAGTGGGCCTGGTGTTCTGAATGACTAACTTCATTTTCGTGTGGTGCGGCGTACTGCTGACCTGGCCTGCGCGGCTGTTTGAGCTGGAAGGAGGCAGGGCAGGGATTCGATATGTACGAGCAGCTGTGTGGAAGGGCTGAAGGTGACAGAGACAGAGCTCTGTGTGTTTTAAGATGAGTGGCAGCAAGTCAGCGTGTTTCATTCACGTCTCAGCTTGTAAGAACTACAATCATGACGTGTAAAGTCGCCGTCTAAACTGTATGGTTGCCTGAGATGGTGTGCGAAAAACTGCTGCTAGTAAAAAAAAGTTGCTATCCTGAAAAAGATCTACCACACCGCAGATATTTAGGACATCAAATGCAAATATTTTCTGGCTGAATCACTGTTGTGTTAACGTCCCCCTCCACTCAAAAATGTGTTTTGGTTATTGTTACTCCACTTGGATATTGGAGCGTCACTGTACAGAATGAATTGTGTGCAGAGATTAACAATGTTTTCACGTTTGTCTGTTCTGTTCTCACCTTAAAGTTCTTGTTTTTTTTTCAGGAGAAAAGTAGGAGTGAGTGATATTTTAAGACTTTCCAGCTAGTTAATCATTATTAAGATTATTATTCCAAGTATCTCTTGCAACATGTGGAGGTGAGCAACTATAGGAGACATCCTGCTATCTACAATTTTTAGTCGATAGTCGATTATCAATGGATTTTGTATTTTTAATTGTGTCCTTGTCACTACCTGTAACTTCTTGTACTTGGTTGGTATTCGTGTTCATAAAAAGGTTTTGAGAACAGTTAGCAGTACAGATTAAACTATACTGTCACTGTCTGCACATCATATCTACTGTCTGTTGTGAGTGACAACAGTGTGAGCTGGAAATGGCAAGAGAGATGAGTCTCTGACAGCAGAACCTGAAGGCTCTGTAATAGGTTTTTTTTGTGTAATAACAGGATTTTCCAAAGCATGTAAATGGGGGAAAAACACCTTTACACCTGGAAACACCAGATCCTTCAGAAATATCAGGATTATACAAGGGGTGAGGAGTGTTTGGGGGGGTTTACATCAATGAAGAATTTGAATTTGAAAAGATGTTTGAATCTAGGTCAGAATATGACTTCCGGCTAAATAATTAGTTTTCATCAGAGCTGGCGGCGCTTTGCGTCTAATATTGTAGAGAAAGCCTACTTCTGCATCTGTGTGTGTGTAAGATGACTGACATGGAGGGAAAGTCTACGTTGTATAATGGCTAGTATTACTTAGTGAATTCCTGTTGCACTCTCTGCCTAAACTAGGTCTGATGAAAACCTGGGCTGGAAATCAGCATTCCCGGCTGAGGCGGTAAACGGTTCCGGTGTTGGGGATACTGTCTAGGAATGTGGGCACGTCGGAGCACACTTGAGTCAAGCGCTCGGCGAGAGTTGGACGGGGGCTTTTCCAGCGTGGGGGGAAAAAGACACAGTGGAAAAGGAAAACTGATTCCACCTTCAGTGGAGCTAAGGTCTCCTGAGTACACCGCGGTATGGAAGAGGGGAGGGTGGGAGGAGGAGGAGGAGGAGGAGGAAGAGGAGGGACGGGTGGGGCGAAGAAGGGAAAAGATGAAGACTCAGAGAATACTGCTGCCATTTACAGCTGAAACTCATTCACCACTTTCTCTGCCTGGTCTAACTTTCCCCAAGTTTTTTATGTTTTAAAATATTCACTTGTTTTCAAAGATCCAGATTTTATGGCGTCAAACTCAGCTTTAAACGAACGGATATCCTCGCCAATGCACGTTAAAAGACAGTTGTAAAATGTTTTCTGGTGGAGGAGACTTCCATTTCAACCTGTGAGAGCGCCAGCTGTACCTAGATCAGTACTGATAGGACACTTAACAGCACCATGAAATGATAACACACACTCTTTGACCAGACCAAATGATTTATTTAACAACAAAAAAAAACCCTTAAACCCGATGTAGTTGACCTGCACTGAGCAGTTCAACAGAGTATCTATGAATATCGGCCAGCGTGGAGATAAGAGCTTAAATCAGAAGTGACGTAATCTGGTTTTTCACACACTCATACGAAAGCTTTTATTTGTCAACATCCTTTCTGTCTTTCTGAACGTCTCCTTTGCCATTCTGTCAAAGAGAGAGAGACAGACAGAGAGAGAGAGAGTGAGACAGAGAGAGAGAGAGAGAGTGAGACAGAGAGAAAACTCTTGCCTCTGTCCAAACTATTTCATCGCACCCACGCATGAGCAAACAGTTTATTTCTGGAAGTTGACGGCGTGTTCTGTGAACTCGTACTGAACCTCAGGAATGGGGACAGACAACCTGCCAAAACGACCATAGGGGAAAACGAAATAAAGCTCGTCTTTTTTCCCTTCTGCCTCTACAGCAAAGGCTTTTTCTTTTCAGTTCCAGGTGTGTGTGTGTGTTTCTGTTTTATTTTCTGTGTGTGTGTGTGTGTGTGTGTGTAAAAACAAGAGGACGGACAGAAACTGGGGCTTAGGACTAGCTGCCAAAAGGACTGCACGCTGATGGAAGCTACTCGAAGCCTCAGACATGTCAGGCTCTTGATATTATCTCTGAGAGAGGCGGACGAGGTATCACCGATAGCGGGGGATTATGCAATCAAGCGCCTCATAAATCCTTGAGGTTTAGTTTCTCACCGAACCCTTCTGTGCTTTTTCTATAGCTTTGATCCCAGCTTTGCTTTCTCCCCAGCAAGTTGGATTACCGCGCCATGCGTGTATCTGTGTATGTTTACACCCGGCCTCAAGCTACAAGACACGCTATCATCAGTTATGATTGAGTAGCCGGTCCACTAGTGCTGAGGAAGTGTTTCAAACAGACAGAACACACACTGAACGCCCTTTCGGCTGGTGGATTACAGGGTTTTAATGGTACACAAAAAGAACAGTTTGACTCATACTGTGGCTTTTGGGTCTGAGGGGGGGGTTTGTATGTTTTTAGTGCAGCAGTGGAAAAAAGATGTTACTTATTTTGAAAGCTGACAAACACTAAACAGTCGCTCATGGGCCACAGTTCTTTGCCAAGGTACTTGAATGTTTGCAAATGGCCACAAAGTATTTAAATAGAAAACAAAAGTAATATGTCGGTATTGCTCTGAGCTAATTTCACAACTACGCAAGCACGGAGGAACATCATAGCAGAGCTCAACCACTCTGATCTGAGCACGGAGGCAATAAACACTCCTACAGTGTTTGT